GAAAAGAGGTTTTGATAACCGCTCACATGTCGTGTGTTGGGTGGTCATTGTCTTGCCCACTCGAATCTGCTTTTTGCTAGCTTGCCAAACACATGCCAGCATGCCACTTGCAATTGCAACCTGCCTCCCGATATCTCCCGGTCTGCCATGACTCTTCCGCTTCCCTTCAGGATGCAGAGCCAGAAGAAGCAGAAGATGCCACGGAAGCGACAAGCTTACTCAGTTTGTTTATTAGTCTGTAACCCTTCATTTGCCATCTCATCTTCCTCTGGTTCTCTGTCTCTCTCTCTCTCTCTCTCGCTTCCCTTTGTCCTTTTCGCTCTTTTCCCCCTCTGCACATTAGATGACCCTGGAAGATTTGGGCATGTACCATACGTCCCTTGCTAACACAAGGAGCCTTTTCTCTCAGAACAAGCTGAAGATTGCCCCCAAGATGACCAGCAGGCTGGTGGATCACAGCAAAGCCTGTCTTCAGACGCGGATGAACAGTCAGGGTTCCCATTCAACCGTGTGCTCCCACATCTTCGAACTTCCTTCGAGACACACACACACAGAGACAGACACAGACACAGACACTCCACTGTTCTAAACCATGTTTCCTGCCAGCCGTGGAGTACAGGACACAGAGGCCGCGCTCGCGCAGATGGAGGAGGGAATAGCTGGTGCAGACTTCAGAGATGAGGCCGAATGGAGTGTTTCGTAGTTGGAGAGATCGCCTGATGACGTTGTACTACCGACACAGGCGCTTCCTGCAGCTCCAAGCCAGGGCCACGATGGGACGCGCCTGCCTGTCGTGTTGCTGAGACTCCTCTAGGCGACAACGAGAACCTTGGAAGCCGGGGAGACGGGAGCGGTGACCATCTCACCGTCGCGGCATCGGCTTTGGTCATCCGGCTGCAGTTGCAGTCGCTACATTTCCTGGGAGCGACAGCCGGAGACCCGAGCTGCTCAGGATGAGAGCCTTGAGAACGAGCTTTCGGACGCGAAGGCTCGAGTCGTACATCCACATCGTCAGTGGACCTTGCAGCATTGCCAAAAACGGTTGCGCATGCGAGGCTCTGGAACACGTGGAACCTGTCCTGGTGCAAACCGTAGAGGAAGAGGTGCGCAAGTGTGGAGCGCTCCTGGATTTGCCGCGGTGCCTGCTCCGACAACCTCCGACATGTGCAGGGAGAGCTCGAGCAGGAAGAGGTTGTGGAGATCACCAGCAGCCGGGATGTTCCGAATGCCCCGCGCTTGAAGTCGCTTAAGCTAGAAGCTGTCTGGGTGATTTGTACCAGTGCTGCCGGTTCTACTGACATTGGTGGTCGGGCTTCAAGAAGCATCCTGGGTGGCTGCGCAGGATGGGGCAGCCACAGCGGAGCCACGTCGCATCCTTGCCATCGTGCCCGATCGCTGCAGCGATTGGCAGGCTCAACGACGTCATTGAAAATTCGGAGATGTTACCAGATGAAACTGCAGCAATGTCAGCTTGCAGTCTGTGTTTGCTACATTTCTCTGCCTTCACAGCTGATGATACTCGGATTTCGTTGGGAGGTGGGAATGCTCAGCAAGTTGCTTGACATGGTCGGTGGCCGGGTCGCGCGTGAATCATTGTCGCCAGATCTACCAGGCAGGCTATGAAATGCCCCAAGTTCTTCCTCTTCTAAGCATGGGACGGAAGGAGAGACTCGCATTGTTGCACCTCCTCTGTGCCCCCCTTCCAAACAATAAAAGATGAGGCGGAGATGATGCTTTGACGACTCCTCGAGTTCTGAAGCTGCTTGCGCATGAGGAGAAGGATCCACAGCCTGAGTCGCAGGAGGTCGTCGAAACCCGCTCCGTACGGATTCAATCCCTGCTCTCCGAAGGCCCGGGTGGAAGCATGACTCTTGAAATTCCGCTGGAAGCCAGTGTCGGAGAAGCTCGACAGCTGGTGACCACTCGCTGTGGCGGCGGAGCCGTGGGAGCTCACATCCGCATGGTCCGGCGCTTCACGAAGACCTTGTTCCTAGCACTGAAAGATGAAGAGCTGCTCAGTGATGTACTTGGAGAGGATGAGGAGTTACTTTTGTTGGGGGTAGACCTCGCTGGTGTGGAGACTGAGGAGTCGAGGAAAGAAGAGGCGGAAGGGGAAGGCCCGGAAGGGACCGAGCAGCGCAAAGACAAAGATGAAGCAGCGAGGTTTTTGATCGCGGCGATGGAGCTGATGGAGGATGCAGGCGTACAGGAACGCTTGATGGGCCTGCCCATGAGCTGTTCAACTGTGTTGGCTGAATGGGAACCGCCCTGGCTTCAAGATGGTGTTGATGACTTGGACGCGGCAGCCCTCAGCAACTTTCCTCCAGATACCGTCCTGGCTTGGGCGCAAAGCTTCTCGGACCTCATGGATACCATGGCACGTAGGCTGCACTCAGACGAGGGCGATGAAGTTGAAGAGGTGGAAGATGTTGAAGACCTTGATGAGGAGGTTCAAGAAGTTGAAGAGGTTGAAGAAGTAGAGGAGGTTGCAGAAGTTGCGGAGGTTCAGGAAGTGGAAGTGCTTGAGGAAGCAGGGGATATGGAGAAAGCCGCAGTGCCGGAGGATATCCCGAAGCAGGAATCAACAGAGCCTTCGCCCGCTCAAGCTCCGGAGCCGGACGGAGACTTCAAGGACGTCTTATCATGTCTTATCAGCGCTTTCAATACCAGCCGTCTCCAAACATCACTGTACACCGAGCTGCACGGAAGGATGCCATCCAAAAAGTTTTGGAGGACATCACAGAGGCTGCATTGATGTTTACCACATTGCAGACCGCAGAACCAATGTGTGCAAAGTGATCTGTCTGACGGGTTGCAGGCGATGCCTGTTGAGCCGGAAATGGAACCCGAGCAAGAGCCCGACGAGGATATGCCAAGACTTCGATGAACTTGCCAGTTCGCCGAAGTGGTACTGGCAAGGTTAGCTACTGCTAGTTGCATGCTGTTGAGCAGCAGTGAGTTAGCGGTGCTGACCTTGCTGCTGGCAGGACGAAGAAGTAGTCCTGGTTGTTGTCGAGTTGGAGCATGTCGCAGCCTGGGATCCAGCATCTGTGAACCTAAAGAGGCAAGCGCAAGCTGGAGGCCACCACAGCCGAGCGGGTGGCCGTTGCCGTTCCGTCATCCTGCAACCTAGGAGAGGTCGGAAGACCAGCACGCTTGTAAGACCAAGGGATCTGATGCTTCGCAAGGTCAAGCTGGCATTGGCCTCCACCTTGGGACTGCAACGAGCCGGGCACTCCGAAAAGAACCGGCTGAAGCGAACTATGCCACGGAGCCGAGGCCGACAGCCTAGAGATTACATCGCCGGAGGGCGCCTTGTGCCAAGTCTGCTGTCGCCAAAGGACGAAATCCCAAACAAAAATGAATCTGTGAAAAATGCCTATCCAGCTGAGGCCGTGACATACCCTGATCACGAGACTTTGGGAAGCAGGCCTACCATTACATCGCGACAAACTAGAGCATTGGGGATCGTGACGACATGAGGCGACGGCTCACTTTCCGAGGTCCAGAGGCCCTGTCACAGCCTTTCGATTGTGAAGCCCGCGCGGAAGGGAGTTGAGTCAGTCAGCGCCTGCCCGTGTTGGCCCTGTCGCCGTTGGAGCCCAAGGGCCACGCTTATAGTCTACAACCCTAAACTCGACACGCCGAACCCCGAACCACAACATCGCGATCAATAATCCAGCACACAGCACAGATGTTGCGAGTCTTCACAGCCATGTTTTGCACTGGTCAAAAGCTTAGGGATGTCTCGGAGGCATCGGATGTGAAAGATATGCACGCATGAAGCAGATTTGATGCCAAAGTTGCATCATAGATCGCAATGGGACGATCCAACAAGAAAGGAGACTCGACGAGTGACTCTTTCTAAACTTTAATCCCTTCGGTCTGAGGTTGTCTGAAGCCGTCGCACCCTGGTGGACTTGAGTTGACTCAATTTCTCAAGGCCCATGTTGCAACTTGCTGGAAGGACTGTTTGCGTACACGAAAGATGGCTTCGATGCCATCTTCGCGCTGGATAACAGAAGTCTGGTTGAATTGAAGCTTCTGACATGTTAAGACCAAAACATGGATTCCGAGCTGAGAGATGCAAGAGATGCACTGTCAATGTCCTTCGTTGATTGCTGCTGCTGAAGTTCGCGGTTTTCGAGCAGCTTTCAGACGCAAACTGAGGTAATATTTATGCGGTCATCCTCTCAGAGATGATCTCAAACACCTTCAAGGAGGGCATGTGGTTCAAAGCGCTTACACCGTACATGCTGATCATCACTGACAACGCACCCGTCTCAGCTGTGCGCTAAAGCTCGCCTCGCCAAGACAGGGAGGTTGTTAGCCGGAAGAGCCCAGGATCCGATTGCCGTCGGCAACATGATGACCTTGAACGGGCTTACCAGAGCTTTCGTAGGCAGGGCATGGCACAGGAACAGTGAGGGTCGCGGGCATGGCATGCCTTCACGTTGTGCAGCGCAGGTGTGTCTTCCGGAAGGCTCCTGATCAACAATTTCGGCATTGACACAGCGCGCTATCTGATCTGTTCTTTTTGACTTTCTCACGGATGTGGCGGAGCATGATGGCAATCTTTAAGGTGTGGCTTCTGAGCGGCATGGTGGGCTTGCTGGGCCTCATGGTGAATGCTGTGCACTGAGAACCCGAGGGGGTGCATAAGCATCTGCACTGGATGGCACGTCGCTGCGATCGCCAAGGTGATCTGCTTGTGTCAAGGCTCTGTTGCGGCGGCCTATGTGCTGAACTTCACCTGGGCAGCGATTGCCTGAGATCAGACGGCAACACAAGTCCTACCATCCAATCTCCGATCTGCAGCATAGTGCAAGCCACAGGGTCAGAGTTTAGGATGCTAAGTTTACTAAGGGGGATAAAGCAGCAAGGAGTGTGTTTGGAGGCCAGGGCCGGGGGCCCCTCTGAGGTGTACAATGGGCTCTGGAACTCCTGCTTGGAGACTTCTTGGGCTCGCTCCATCATCAAGAGCAAGAGGGCAGGGCCCCCTTTGAGTGCCGGCATACTGTCGCTACATGTCTCTCTGTTCAGGAGGATGTCAACGGAGCCAGGCAGATTACCAACAAGGTCACGACTTCCTTGGGACCCCTGATCTCGGCCGTCGTTGCCTCGGCTCCGGAGATTTGGACCAAGGGAGGTAGGATGGGAGTGCTGCAGGCCATCTTCCTCTACTGCGGCAACCGTTGGGACCCATTTTGCCTTGTTTCGGCTACTACGGAGGTTTGTCTTCAAAGCATACCGCCGTTCCTCTATTGACTCTATTCTTCCTTGCAGGACGTGTCACTTGTGCAAAACGTGATGCTCCTGGGCACGGCTATGACTGGCTTTGTCGCAGCTTGTAAGCAAGAAGGGATTGATTGAATCCGCCAGAAGCTTTATGTTTTGCTCACGTGGCTACTTTATTGACATTCGTCACTAGTCGCTAGTAGCTAGATTTCCTTTCGTTATGAATCGTTGTCCATGCACATCACCTGTCTAAGGTGGCTATGTGCTTCTGCTTCCGTAGCTCCCTCGAAATACAACAGGCCTTGCACGCAAGTCTGCAGACTGCAGAGCTCCCTTGTCATATCGAGCTGTGAGTTCTTTTGCGATTCTGCATCCTCGCCAGGATCTGGCACTGAGGGAGATCGAGAGCATACAGCTACTCGGATGTCTTGGGCAATCCTTCGCCACTACATGTTTTTTGAAATCCTTTGGCCAGGGCTCGCAGGACACGTGTTATCAGTGCCAGTACGAAATGTCAGCCGAGGTTTCCCGAGTTGCCAGAAGATGCGGGACCTGCTCTCAGCTCAGAGGCCGGGTTTTAGTTAAGTCAAGTGTGACTCTCACGGCCTCTATTTGACGCCAGGCACCATCTACAAGCATCACCTTGAGACCCGAAGCTATGAGTCAAAAGGATTTTCTGGCAGATGATGATGGCTATGCTCCGCTCTCAATTATGCCAGCGGCCACGAAGAGCGGCTGAAGTCCAAGCCGTGCATAGCCAAGAGCCTCTCACCGTAGAGTCGTCGTGCAGTGGTCACACTTACCAAGTCCCCTCTGCACTTGAAGTAAGAGCCCCATAGTGTTGCCACGAGCTGCACACCATGCCGCGGGCTGCAAGAGCGGTCAATTAGGTCATGCTGACGTCGCCTCTGGGAGGGAACTCAGATTCATGGGCTTCGCGCATTCGCCCGCTGGCAGACTTCAGATTCCGCATCCAAGTCTGTGAGGGCACCACATGTCAGCGAGACAAGCCTCCATCGACTTCGGGCGACTTGTCCATCTAAGGCATAGTGACCACGAGTTACCAGGAGACTCCGCTCATACTTGTGAAACAGCAGCCTGGTAGCAGCTTTTCAGAGTTTCGCGGGAAAATCCAGCACTGCTGAGCCAAGCGTCACGAAGGTTCCACGCAGCCTTGAAGGCAGTGCCACCCGATCAGACTAATAGCGTCGTCCCCAGTACTGGTATGAATGATGTGTTCCACGAAGGTTGAGCAGGATGGCTTGAGTTAAGGTGTGCTTCGCTTCTGTGATGCCTCACGAGCACCTGTTGCCGTGCAAATCGAGTCGTTGGAAGTCTATCTCTCTCAGGCTCCTTGCTTGGATGTGCATGTGCACTGTCAGATGATGACCGTGCATCGTTTCAGGTCGACGAGGCCTCCAACGATCCTGCACCGGTTGACCTGCGAAGGAGCACCCTACCTGAATTTCTGCAATCCGAGCCTCTCATCGTGACATTTTGACCTTATCTGAGGTTCGATGCGCTTTAGCGTGGACTGCACAGAAACTTCAAAACTGAAGACAGCGCCATCCCTCGGGCACATCCTGTGGGGCCTTGTTCTGGGAAGCTAGCCTGCAACCCTCGTCTGCAAGCAAAGCTCCTCTTACCTTCTAGTGTGTCCTGCAAGGAAGCAATGCTCAAGCACTGCATCGACAAGGTCTGCAACCGCTGACCAGCATGAAACGTCGGAGTGGCAGCCTCCTGACAGGACTGGAGGAAAGCCTGCTGGCTGTTGCGCAGCGAGAAGGCCTGACAGTGGGAATTCGTGCCTACCTCCGCTATGCTCTGCAACTCACCCAATGCTCAGCAAGCAGCCGTGAGCCAATTGAGGGCTCTCTCTCTCGCTCTCTCTCTGTGTCTATGAGTGTGTATGCAAATACTGTAATTGTATATAAATCTATATATGAGTGTATATTCATGTCCAGGATCTCGTGGCTCTTTGTGCCCGAAGTTTGTCAGCAGCAAGCTCTACTGCATGGCTACGGCGTCGCGAAGGGCCGATCGCTTGTCGCATTTTGTGAGGTTCGCGTGGCATCGCGTGGCCAAGGAAGGGGAAGACTGCAACAGAGATTCTGACTCCGAAAGGGCCGAAGCGAGGTGAGGCGTCTCAACCAGCACGAGCAAATATGCTGGGAGCGAACATCATTGTGTCTTCGTCTGCACTGGGAATGAAGTTTTCAGCCAGCAGCCACGACATGCTGCACTCATCTTGGGCCTTTCTACTTAGGCAAGTGTAGAATCGGATACAACTTCGGCTTCACAATCAAGTAGTGTTGTCTAGTCGAGGTCACTTGCGATGTTCTGAATGCGCTTGGTGCTGGGTTCTCGTTGAAGTTCATCGACCTGTTCCTCAAGGCACGCAAGCACACATGGGTTGTGTCATGATGTACATGTCTCCATGAGAGGAACTCGTGCAGATGTCTGGACATGCTGGTTTGCCGGTTGGCAGGTGGACTACGGGGTGTCTCCAGCAGGCAGGCAGTAGCCACAGCAGATGACCTATGGTGTTATGTTGTAGCAGTCGAATTGTACCACCATATTCGAACATGAAGCTTGTCGCATGCTGGGACGGAGAGGACCTCCACTGCCTCAGTTGCATGCTGATCTTCCAAACCACAACACATCCACGCTAGACAGGGGCTGCGGAAGACTAATGAAAAGCAACAAGTCTCGAGTTCCTCGCACTTTGGCGAAGCTTGAGGTGTTTTCCTTGTGGCGTTCTTGCAGAACATTTTGGGTGCCTGGCTCACACCGGTGTCAAAGACGCTGCTAGCCACTTTGCAGGACTTCAGCATTTTATGCCTCAGGCTTTTTTGTGCACAGGATGGAGTACCAGCGTCCCACCCCTCCAAAACAACTGTCGGCTTATGAGGGCCAGGCTCAAGTTTGCTTGATGTGGAAGGATATCTTGTGTTGATTGGACCAAGCTTGGGTCAAAAAAGCCCTCGCCCCGCACGGTGCTGCTAAGGTCCGACTGCGGGCCGAGGGCTACCGTGCCAAATTGGGCGTCGTGCCTGCCTCGCAGCAGATCCCCTTTGTCTGAATACTTTGACTCTTTTCACACTCGTGCTGATGCCTCTCCAAGGTTAGAGAATCAGGAGAAACAGGCCTGACAACAGCATTTGGGGGAAGTAGGAGAAGCAACAAGCGCGGTTTATCGTTGTCTCTTTCCTGAGCGACGTCGATGTGTGTGTGTGTGTGGAGTGGTGTGCGTGCATGTTTGTGTACTGCATGTGTGTCCAGGATTCTGGTATAAACTTACAGAATGCTTTAGATAGCTTGAATCTCCCGCAGTGTGGAATCCCAAGCATACAGAAGGCATCGACATCGAATTTGTCTGTGGAGTGTCTGCGGCTGCCTTCTTGTTTATCTCTTGCTCGACTGCTAGACTTACCGCAATGACAGCCTCGCGGAAGGCTGTGAAGCCAAGCGCAGCTCAGGTGTTTCTGTGGTCTCTGGCCCTCTTCTTTCTGGCCTTGGTGTGCATTCCAGGAATGCCACTGTGGGTGGTTGTACCTTCCATCGTCCTCATGCAGTCGCTGAACTCTTGTACACGTGCTTTCAATCGGGCGCAGCTAATCAACTTCCTCCCGCGCGAAAAAATCGCAACTTACATGATCCGCGCTCAGTTGAACACGGCTCCGAGGAGCGGACATTTGAATGCGACTTGAGAGCGAGACCTCTCAGGACTTGGGATGCGCTGAACAAGGCCAACCAAGGTGGAATTGCGATCTTTGGAGCCCAGGTCGTTGCATTCGCTGGCTATCGGGGATGTTTTGTGGGCACCTTCTTGCTGCTGTTTCTTCGCGCCTCGGTAGCCACCGCAGTGAAGTGTGAGGAAGGGTACGCTGAGTCCCGATCAGGCAGTCCTTGCTATAGCAGTTGAACTTTCTCGGAGGCTGTTCCTTTCCTGCTAAGGTATGCTCATCTATCTGACATTTACGCTCAGAAAAGGCACGGTTTACAGAGGCCGCCACCCGCAGTTTCTGATTGCCTTTCTGCCGTAAGCAGGAGACGAAGACATAACAGCCCGTCGTCATTTCAATGTGTGTTGACGTGCTCATAATACTCTGCGGCTCGGTCTCCCAAAAAATCAGACGCCGCTCGTGTATTCCCAGTCATGACGCAGCTCCGGGCCTTCAAAAGTGGCCGCCATAAGTTGGGGGATGATTTTCATGGTCTGCTGTGATTTGAGATCTTCGTGAAGAAAGGGGAGGCATGCTCCAGCAGTATATAGTCAATATAGCCATCATAGCTCAACAATCACTGATACGATGCTATATTTATATGGTGATGTGTATTTTAGCTTCAATTGAGTCCGGAAGGAGGATGATGTTGCCAGGTGGCTACTTGCGAGAGCTCGAGCCGCGCCTGCCGACAACGCTGTCTGAGCAGTCGATGTCCTTTGGCAAGTCGACTAGAACGCAATAAAGGCACTAATGATAACAACAGAACAAGAATTGTGCTAAGAGTATGGCTTCGTGTGTTTCTACCTAGAGTGCATTGGATTCTAGTCAATGTCAGAGACGGCTGAATGCAGAAAGCCGAGGCTTACTGCCGAGGATCTCAACTGTGCTCCCCCTAGCCTTTGGGCAGAAACAAAGAGGTCTTGGCCCGAGATTGCCCGAGCTAAGGTGTCGAGAACTTGCGTGCGCACTTCGACGGCGATCAGGATGTACTTTGCGCAGGTTGAAGGATGTGAAATGGTTGAGATGATGTGAAGGCGGTGTGAGAGCCCGAGAGCCCGCTCGCTTCCCCAGGAGTCGCAGATGTTTCAGCCGGCGGAGGCCTTGGCTCTGGCGTCTGAGAACCCTGCCAAGCTCCGATACAGTGGGCAGGCCGGGCAAAGTGCTTGCTAGCTTTGCTTCGAAGTTTTTGGGCCGCGGATGTTCTGTGACACAGGGTGAGCTGCTCGAAGTGCAAGGGGTTGCCGCTGGCTGGCAGTGCTTTCATACTGAGTTGAAGTATTGGCATCAGCATTCCTCTAAGGAAGAGCTTCTCTTCGACGAGAACGAGGGTGCTTCTGATTCATGTTCACGGCTCGCAGTTGATCGTCGCAAGCTCTGCCAGACAGATTCTGCCAGGCCGCCATCACGCCGGGGTACCAAAGAAAGACCCCTGAATGTGTGACCCGACTCAGCTCCGGGGAGTGCTGCCTCGTGCAAAATGCACGGCGCAGCCGGGATCCGAAGACACTGGCCGGCAGCAGGAGAACCATCCCGCGCCATCGATTGAAAAAAAGCGTCATGAGTCCGTTGGCAGAAGCATCTCATGGACTCATGGCCTCTCACTGTAAACTCCAAGTTCGGACAGACTGGGATCTGCTCAACCCACACGACAGGAAGAAGATGATGATGACGAAGTGATCGACATCATCGAGTAAAGTAGACAGGTAGACATCCGCTTCCACAGCGGCACATGCTGCATGCTGAGTTGCATGCCTTTTCCGCAACATACTTGGTGCTTGCTCCTCAGCACCTGTGCGTGTCCACGTAGATCAACTTTTGGCTTCAGCTCTGAAGCTTCTGGTGCAGTGAGCGCCGCTTTCGTCATGCAAGTCTCCAAAAGTGAGACAGCGAGACATTAGGCTAGTCGTTCGTGCACGACTTGCGGTTCATGATTGCCAGGGCATGAGCATGTCTGTCATGCCCTGTAGTGCATAGGTTTTCAGGAGGCGCAGTTTTCATGATTTTCGGAGCAGCAATGGCAAGCATGCCCTCGCGCTGCAAAAGCATGTGCAGATCTGCGCACAGATGCCGACGCTTGTCTTTCCTCGTGGATGCTGTTGTTTGGTCTCAATCTGCAGCTTTCGGAGAACGTCGTTTTTGCAGTCATTGGCTTGTGCATGGTCGTTCTGTCCGTGTATGTCTGCACTTTTCGTCCCGTGTAAGCTGAAGTTATTGCGATCGTCGTGGCAGCACCCCATCTCTTGGACGATGCTGACACGAATTCATCTACCGCCGTCTTGGTTGCATAGCAGAGCCAATGATATGGAGAGAACTGATATATGCCTGCAGCTTGCCGGACTGAAGAAAGGCATTATTACTGCACAGATTAGGATTGGCAATAGTCCAGGACATTCCAAAGTCACACATGTCGCGACACACGTGCTTTCTGTAGCTGCATGGTTCGGAGATGTTCGGAGCGTCATCCTGATGTCTCATGAGCATGCCTGCGAGCACCTTGCGCCTGGACGTGCTCTCACACCTGTGTTCTGCGGCAGACGAGGGTAACCATCAGGCAGCATCACAACTGCTGCCATTTCTGTGCCTGTGTTTTCAGCAACCACCGGCCCTAGCCGCGTCATTTAAAAGTGGCACGGGCCTGCCAGACTTTGCGCTGATCAATACGACGATCTCAAAGCTGGCTTCCTTTCATTCATCCACGGGACCCGAAAGCAGCGCCACGCTCTCAGTAGCCATAGTTGCCGGTGATATTATGGAGTCCATTTCTGTTGGTCTTTGCTCAGCACACGCAGAGGATGAGGACAGGGAGGAGAGAGAGGATGCAGAGATGGAGCAGGCAAAAGAGACTCAGGAGCAGTGCGCGGAGGAAGAATGTGAGGAGGGTCAGCCGGAGCAGTGCATTTGGTTGCTCAGCTTGCTCGCCGCGTCGTTGCCACTGATGGCAGACTCACTGCCGGAGGACGATAGCGGAACGTGCGTGTTACCCCATCAGCACAGCATGGACCTGCAGAACGCTGATGATTTGTGCATGCCGATGCGACTCTGGAATGGCCGACCTGCATACGACACGCAGAAGATCTGTGATCGGTGCATGGAAGCCATTCAGGAGCGCGAGTTCTACCACTGCTCACGGGACTGCGACGTGGATTTTTGCAGAAGCTGTCATGCAGAACTCCAGGCGGTTCTGGATAAGCACTTTACCGCACGAAGCTCGAGGATACCTGTGACGCACTTGGTTGAGCGCATGGCATGGACGATGCATGCAGCTGATGAGCTTGCTTCAAAGATCTTGCAAAGAACAAGTCGTGAACGTACGCTGCTGGCTCGCGTGCTTGCTGAGGAGTGGCCCCTAGAGATGTTTTCAATGCTCGTTGCTGCCATCGTTGACGTGTGCAATGCGAAAGTGTTGTACAACTCCTCAAACGGAGCAATTACATCCTCTGTTCGCTGTTCCTTCATACACGAGCAAGAACCCTATCAGCAGCACTCCCAGCCCATGTACGAGGATGATTCATTCTGGAAAACAGTTGGTTTCCTCCAATTCCTGTATGCCAGCAACATGCTTCGCAAGGACTCGCATGTTGGCTGCGAAGGCGAACAACGCCCAGCGGTCAACGCGCTGAGTTTTGTACCAGAAGCCATAAACCAGTGCAGGCCCGAGGTGGAATGGGAATACTGGAGCGCCCACGCAGCGACTGTGACACATGCTCTTCCGAACATACTCTCTGACGATTTCTCAACAACAACGCCCGAGTTTCGGTGCCTGGCCGCTCATACCAACATCCTGCCGATAAACTTCCGGAGGAGCTGTGCAGTTCTGGATGTACGTCAATGCATCTATTCTGGAAATTCCTGGCCTCAGTTGCTTCCACGACGGGTGACCATCCGCCGTGAACCCGAGCTTCTCGTTGCCGATCTAGAGGTTTTCCTATCTGAAGCAGACGAAGCTCCAGAGCCAGGAACCATGGAATGCACATGCGCTGAGCCAAGCGTTGCGGAGACGGAGAGGGATGCAGAGCACGAAGTCGCGAGCCGACAGCCAGCTCGCGCGACTTTCCTTCAGCAACCGTTCCACGTCACATTCCAGGGTGAAGATGGACAAGGCCCTGGAGTCAGGAAGGAGTTCTTCCATGCACGAGCCTGAGCTTGCACGTCTTTCGGAAGCTAGCTGTCTGTCCGTGCCCGAAGTCCCTGCCTGCCCCTAAACCGAAGGTTGCCACACGCGCATTCCTCTCCCTGTTGTTCGACGAAGTTTGCAGCCGCCAGCGCACCAGCTTAATTTGCGCCGAGTCCGGATGGGCCGGTACTTCTTTTCAGCAGTCTGCACAGGTACTGGTTTAGGAAGGTTGACAGACCGGCGGCCTTCTTTGCCATCGACTGAGTTATCCCATGACTTCGACATTCAGCAGAGCAGCCGCAGCTTGCAAGTTTCCAGCATGTTCCACATTGCGCAAGGCATTTGGAGCATTGCTGGGCCACGCCATCGTGCATGATGTGCCTGCCTGTCTTGAATGTGTCGATTGGTCTCTCTGAGTCTAACTACTTGCAGAGCTTGCCGAATTGCAAGGTTTATGTCAGGAGACGTCTGCCAAAATGGCTCTGCCATTTTGGCTCAAGATTGTGACCTCGGGTCCTAAAGAAAATTT